TCAGAAAAATAAATAAATAGTAATAAAAATTAAATACAAAAAAAGAAAAAGAAAGTGTGAGGATGGCGCAGGACAGGACTCGGTTCAGATATTTTGTACGTAGGGTCGCTATGAGTCATATGACTCAATGGCATCTAACAACAACAATACTTTTGATGAGATTGTAAAATGGTACAACCACTCTGGAAGATAGTTTTATGTTTCCTCAAAAAGCTGAACGTAGAAATGTCATATGACCCAGCTTATCATGGCTAGGAATATACCTAGAGGAAAATGGAACTAAGATATCAATGGGAATTTGTACACTAATATTCATAGAAGAATTATTTAGAATAGCAAGATAATGGAAATAGCCCAAATGTCCATCAACAAATATATTGAGAAATTAGGGTATATTCACACAATGGTATACTATGCAGTACTCAGAAGCAATGATTTTGTAAAATGTTATATAACATGGGAGAGGCTAGAGATCAATATGCTGAGTGAATTAAGTCTCATAAGGACAAATATTGCACAATACCATTATAGTTCAACCAGATGAATAACCAGTTAGTTAGGTGCCATTGAGTTGAGTATGACCACAGTGACCCTATGAACAACAATCTTGAACCCTGTCCTACCTATCCTGTGCCGTTTTCACTCTTTCTAAAACACTATAGCCCATTGCAGCAGTCACTGTGTCAATCCACCTGGTTGAGAGTCTTTCTTTCACCAACATTCCACCTTTCCAAGTATGATGTCCCTCCCCAAGGAATAGCCTCTCCTAGCAGCATGCCTGTAGTATGTGAGGCAATGTTTCAACATATTTGTCTCCAAGCATAACTCTGACTGCACTTTCTCCAAGACATACTTATTTGTTCTTTTGGCAGTTTTGGGGGATATTTAGCAGTCCACGGGGATATTCAGTAATCTTCTCCAATACCATAGCTCAAAGGCCTGAATTAGATATATCTTAGTCCTCCATAATTGACTTAATTGCTCCTCAATAATTGGAGAAGTCCTAAGTATTGAAAAGTCCAAGACTTTCCCGGTGGAATATGTCTCCTGATTTCCTAACAGGTGGTGCCTAGAATGTTGATTGTGGTCCAAGCAAGATGAAATTGTTGGCAACTTCAATTTTTTCTCCATCAACGTGGTGTTGCTTATTGGTCCATTGGTAAGACTTTTCCTTTTGTTCATGTTGAGATGCAATATTTTTTTATAATCTTCTGCAACAAGGGCTCCAAGTCCTTCTCACTTCCAGCAAACAAAGTTGGTTTATCTGCATTATTCAGATTAAATTGAGTCTTCCTCTGATCCTGAAGCCACATTCTCCTTCAAATATTCCAGTTTCTGGAATAATTTGATCAGCATACACATTGAATAGGTATGGATAGAGAATACAACCCTGACACATTATGTTCTTTTTTTTTAATTGTCCATATGTAGTATTTTATTTACAGCATTTTTTTTTACACAATCCATTCCGAATTTTAAATCATGTCATTTTCCCTTGCTGTGTTCAATACAACAGCCTCTTGGTCTAGGCACAATTAAGTGTTCTAAAATTCCCATTCTTCTCAGTGTTAGCCATAACTTATGATTCACACAGTCAAGTGCCTTTGCATAGTCAATAAAGAATAAATAGACATTCTTCTGGTATTCTTTACTTTCAGCCAGGATCCAACTGATATCAGCAATGAAATCTCTGGTGACATGGACTCTTCTAAATATGTCTTGAACTTCTAGCAGTTCCCTATCTATGTACTGTTCTAGCCATTTTTTAAGGATCTTCAGCAGTATCTTGCTTGCATGTGGTATTAAAGATAATGTTTGATAGTTTCTACATTTTGTTGGATCAGAAGAGGAAGACTCTGGATGAGGTGGATTGACACAATAACTGGGGTAATGAGAGAAGGTGTGTCAGAGACAGTGAGATTGGCTCATGCTAGAGCAGGGTTCAGAGCTACTTTGTATAGGGTCACGATGAGTCATAGTCGACTCAATGGCACATAACAACAAGTCTTACTATCCTACTTTCTAAGGAGTAATCTGGCTGTATTTTGGCCAATACATTTGCTTACCCTTCTGTAAATTCACGTTGTTAGGTGCCATCAAGTCTAGTACGACTCATACTCATAGCAACCCTGTGAACAAAAACTCTGAACCCTGTTTTATCCTGCACTATCCTCACATTTTCTGACACACAAGAGCCCATTGCAGCAGTTACCATATCAATCCACCTGATTGAGGGTCTCCCTCTCCTTCACCAACCCTCCACCATTCCCAGCATCATGTCCTTCTGCAAGGAATAACACCTCCTAGCAACATGTCCAAAGTATGTGAGGCAAAGTCTCATCATCCTCACCTCCAAAGAGCACTCTGGCTGTACACTAACCAAGGCATATCTGTTCATTCTCTTGGCTGTCCACGGGATGTTCAGTACTCTTATCCAACACCACAGCTCAAAGGTGTCAATTATTGTCATCTTTATTCATTGCCAAGCTCTCAGATTCATAGCTAGTAAATAGAAAGACCATGGCCTAAATCACACACCACTTGGATTTCAAACTGACATCACTACTCATCAATAATTTGGGAAGGTTCCTAATCACAGATTTTCCCAGTGAAATGTGTCTCCTTATTTCCTGACTGCTGGTACCAAGGGTATTAATTGTAGATCCAATCAGGATGAAACTGTTGATAGTTTCAATCTCCTCTCCATCACGACCCTGTCTACTGAGCCGATAGTAAGAATCTTCATTTTCCTGACATTGAGATGCAATCCATACTGAAGGCTTCATTCCTTGATCAACAAGCAAGGTTGTGTCACATAACGTAGGTTACTGATGCCACACTCCTCCTCAAAGAGTCCAACTTCTCAGATAATTTGCTCAGCATACAGATTGAATATGTATAGAAGAGCACAGCCGTGATGCACTCCCTTCCCATTTCCAAACCATGCAGTGCTCCACTGCTCTGTTCACACAACAGCCTCCTGTTCCATGTATAGGTTCCACATGGGCACAATCAAGTGCTCTGGGATTTCTATTCTTCTCAATGTCATCCACAGCTTGTCGTGATCCACACAGTCAAATGCCTTTGCATAGTCATTAGAGTAGAAGTAGACTTTATTTTGGTATTTCTTACTTTCAGCCAGGATCCCTCTGACATCAGCAATGATATCCCTGGTGCCACAGCCTCTTTTAAATCCTGCTTAAACTTCTGGCAGTTCCTTATCTATGTACTGTTCCAGCCATTTTTTTAATGATCTTCAGTAGTATTTTACTTGCATGTGATATCAGTGATATTGTTCAATAATTTCCACATTCAGTTAGATCACCTTTCTTGGGAATGGGAACAAATATGGACCTCTTCCAATCCAGTGGCCAGAGAGCTACCCTCCAAATTTCCCAGCATAAACTGAGTGCATCTAAGGCTGCATCTAAGGCTGCATCTGTTAATTAAAACAAGTCAAACTGGATAAAGGTGTATACTGCACTGAAACAGATGAGGAAGAGAATAATTTAAAAGCGATGTATGCTAGGGTATTGTGATTATCACAAGAGTCCACAATTAAGGTTGCATAGTATAATGTACTTGGGGTGGTGGGAGGGGTGCAGGAGGATTGTGTACCAGGGAGAGAGGTTTTCTTTGGCTTTTCAAAGAGAGGAGAGAACGGGGGTGGGGGGGAGGCTGGGCTGGGAGAGAAGTGCAGCAAAGAATGAATGGAAATCCAAAATCTCTGTAAATGTTCATTAAAATTATTAAAAAAATTTTTTTTAAAAATCAAGTCAATTGGTATTCCATCAATTCTTGGGGCCTTAATTTTGGCCAATGTCTTCAATGCAGCTTCTGCTTTCTCCTTCATTACAATTGGCACCTGTTTGTATAGTATTTCCTGATTAATTTTCAGTGTTAATCAATTCTTTCTGGTACAATGACTCTGTGTATTCCCTTCACCTTCTTTTAATGCTTTCTGGATCATTCAATATATTGCCCACAGCATCTTTCAGTATTGCAACATGAGGCCTAAATTTGTTTTTCTGTTCTTTCAGAAATTCATGTTCAATATTACTTGCCAATGCAAAGAATAATTCAAAGGCATCAGTTCTTCCATCTTTCTTATTCATCGTCCAGAATATGAGACCCAGCACTTTCATATGTGCACAGTGCCAGAGGGACGTGTTGAGGAGGGTGAGCCACTCTAGGATTTGAACACTTGTTCAGCTTCCCTGAAACTCTCCACAGATTCCCATGGTGTGAAGCAGCACAGACACTTCACAGTTTCCCTGTGGCTGACACTGTACACAGCAGTAGGGATGACAGGAGTGGCCAGGGGTATCCTGTTCCACACATGCACACTAGCTTTAACAAGCCTTTGAAATAGTCTATTATTGTTAATTAAGTGCTTTGGACTATTTATTTATACTGCTGTTATTATTGTTGTTTGCCGCCTATTTGGAACCAATCCCATGGCTGATCCTCCAGAGGATGTTCAGAAGGAGTTAATTGTTTGCGTTAATGGAAGAGATTGCCCATCTTTCTCCCATGGAGCATGTGGTGGATT